ACCCCTGTGTCCCCTGTCACCGGTCAGTGACACCCCTGTGCCCCCTGTCACTGGTCAGTGACACCCCTGTGCCCCCTGTCACTGGTCAGTGACACTCCTGTCACTGGTCAGTGACACCCCTGTGTCCCCTGTCACTGGTCAGTGACACCCCAGTGTCCCCTCTGGCCGGTCAGTGACCCCTCTGGCCGGTCAGTGCCACTTCCCCCTGCCCCTCTGTGTCCCCTTTGTCACCTTCCAGAATCCCCTGTCACCCTCTGAGGGTTTTTAGGGGTGTCCCTGATGGTTTTGGGCTGCCCCTGAGGGATTTCAGGGTGTCCCCAAAGATTTTTAGGGACATCCTTGAGAGTCCCAGGGATCTTCAGGCCATCCCTGGTGGTTCCAATCCATTCTCCAAGGTGTCCCCAAAGGTTTTTAGGGATATCCGTGGGAGTTCCAGGGATTTTCAGGCCATCCCTGGTGGTTCCAGTCCATTCCCCAGGGTGTCCCCAAAGGTTTTTAGGGACATCTGTGGAGATCCCAGGGATTTTCAGGCCATCCCTGGTGGATCCAATCCATTCCCTGGGGTGTCCCCAAAGGTTTTTAGGGACATCCTTGAGAGTCCCAGGGATTTTCAGGCCATCCCTGGTGGATCCAGTCCATTCCCCGGGCTGTCCCCAACGTGTCCCCGCCGTGTCACAGGGATCAGCCTCCCCGAGGGCGTGGACCCGTCGTTCCTGGCGGCGCTGCCGGACGACATCCGTCGGGAGGTGCTGCAGAACCAGCTGGGGATCCGCCCGCCCGCGCGGGCGCCGCCCGCCGCCAGCCCCGCGCCGCCCGTGGTGGCCAACCCCGGCCTCACCGAGGTCAGCCCCGAGTTCCTGGCGGCGCTGCCCCCGGCCATCCAGGAGGAGGTGGGTGTGGTGCCGTGGGCGGGGTGACAGGTTGGGTGTGGTTTTGGGGTGTGGCCTCTTCGGGTGTGTCCACATGGGGGTGTGGCATTTTTGGGTGTGTCCACATGGGGGTGTGGCATTTTTGGGGTGGATCTTTGGGATGTGCCCTCTTTGGGACATGTCTCCATGGGGATGTGGCCTCTTGGGGTGTGGCCTCTTCGGGTGTGTCCACATGGGGGTGTGGTATTTTTGGGTGTGTCCACATGGGGGTGTGGCATTTTTAGGGTGGATCTATGGGATGTAGCCTCTTTGGGGTGTGTCCCCATAGGGGTGTGGCTTCTTTGGGGTGTGTCCCCTTAGGGGTGTGGCCTCTTTGGGGTGTGGTTTTGGGGTATGGCCTCTTTGGGTGTGTCCACATGGGGGTGTGGCATTTTTGGGGTGGATCCATGGGGATGTAGCCTCTTGGGGTGTGGCCTCTTTGGGGTGTGGTTCCTGAGGGTGTGGCCTCTTTGGGTGTGTCCACATTGGGGTGTGGTATTTCTAGGGTGGATCTATGCGGTGTAGCCTCTTTAGGGTGTGGTCGCTCAGGGTGTGGCCTCTTGGGGTGTGGTCCATGAGGGTGTGGCCTCTTTGGGGTGTGTCCCCATAGGGGTGTGGCATCTCAGGGCATGTCCACTGGGGTGTGTCCCCATAGGGGTGTAGCCTCTTTTGGGTGTGTCCCCATATGGGTGTAGCCTCTTTTGTGTCCCGATATGGGTGTGTCCTCTGGGGTGTGTCCCCATATGGGTGTGTCCTCTGGGGCATGTCCTCATAGGGGTGTAGCCTCTTTTGGGTGTGTCCCCATATGGCTGTAGCCTCTTTTGGGTGTGTCCCCATATGGGTGTAGCCTCTTTTGGGTGTCCCCACGCGGTCGTGCTGTCTCGGGCCGTGTCCCCGCGGGCCGTGTCCTCTCGGGCCGTGTCCCAGCGCTGTCCCCCACAGGTGCTGGCGCAGCAGCGGGCGGAGCAGCAGCGGCGGGAGCTGGCTCAGGCCACGGGCTCGGACGCGCCCATGGACCCGGTGACGTTCATCCAGACGCTGCCGTCCGAGCTGCGGCGCTCGGTGCTGGAGGACATGGAGGACTCGGTGCTGGCCGTGATGCCGCCGGACATCGCGGCCGAGGCGCAGGCGCTGCGGCGCGAGCAGGAGGCGCGGCAGCGGCAGCTCATGCACGAGCGCCTCTTCGGCCACTCCAGCACCTCGGCGCTCTCGGCCATCCTGCGCAGTCCTGGTGAGGGGGGGCCTGTCCTGCTGCCCCCCGAATCCCTCTGTGTGCCCCCCAAATCCCTGTGTGTACCCCCCAAATCCCTCTGCCCCCCGAATCCCTGTGTGCCGCCCAAATCCCTCTGTGTGCCCCCTGAATCCCTCTGTGTGCCTCTCGAATCCCTCTGTGTGCCCCCCAAATCCCTCTGCCCCCAGAATCCCTGTGTGCC